AATACTATTAATGCTATCAATAGTATAAATAGTATTGAAGCCTTGGCATTTTTTTTAAGCTTTTACTTTTAATTTTAAAATTCTATGTGGAAAAGTATGAAAGCTTATGTAGTGCATATCAATATAAATGCAGAGCCATATACTTTGCTGGTGGCACTGATTTATATCTGCTGATGGCCTGGGCTACTCCTTTCATTTGAATTTGCTGCATCAAAGCAGTCTAGGCAATAAATATATTAGGGACATATCTATTTCACTTCCAGCATTTCTAGCTGGCTGGCACACTATTACACTGTCAGGTCCATCTCAAATTTCTGCAGAACAGCTATCCCAGAGAAGCGACTCTATGTTTGTGTGGTACTTGCAGTTGTGTGATAGCCTTGGATTTAATTGAACCTTTGAGAGAAATGTGTTTATAACCCAGCTAGTATACTTCTACACTGACAGGAAGAATTTTTATTTAAGAGGTGTCTATTTTCAAACTTTTGATACCTGGATGGTCTTTTTTTTGAAGGTTTATCTTCTTTCTCTGGAATGCAAGGTGTATACAGATAGATCTATTTCAGGCTGTCTTTAACCCTCTATGAATGAAACATTAGAGTCTAAATTTGCTGAACAGTTTTATATAGGGGTTCATTTCTATACAAGCTTCTGTAACCTATTCTGCATGCACACATAGAGTACTGTGTTGTAATGTGGAATAGTGAGAGTTCACATTAACAGTGTTAAAAGTTGACAATGTAACAGCACAAAGCATCGCCCATCCATTCTGTTCACCCATTTTTATTATACTTGTAGTGAGTGTGATTTAGGCTCATTCAGATCTACTGCTGCTAGTTCATGGAGTGGAATTTTAATTGTGAGAATAAAGCCTGTCATATGTTCCTGCCTCATAAATCCAGGAGAAGGCAGAATTTAAGTGAAACAGTGGAGCCATTCTGTATTTATGAGGGTATAGAGGAGATTACAAATCAGCCCTGAGATGACCCTGTACTACTTGAGATCAAAGATTAGACCTCAGGCATACTTGGTTTCCAGTTTGTTCTGCCTCTGTTGGCACTCATCAGCCTTCAGTTTTGCCCAGTATCCTTGCTTTTTCTGTTTTAAAGGGATGTTTCTCTCTTGCTCATGGGTTTATTATAGATGAATGCAAGTTTTAGTATGTGCTATAAGGCACATGTCCCTGTATTTACTGGTAAAACTATTACTGGTAATACCAAACTGATGTCATAGTTATGAGATAAGTTGTACATTTTCATTCAATTTACACTTTACTAAGGAAGCATTCTGGGGAGAGCAAAATGTCCTAAAACAAAAGAGTGCTTTTACCCCATCCCCTTTACAGATGGATTGTTTGCATCCGTGATACTGCAAGGAGCTGTGATTAGCATGAGGTGATTGTGCTACCGTGTATCCTTAAAGACAAATGCTAAGTACAGCCAAAGTTACCCATGAATGCAGTGGATGGAGAGGGTACCTTTCTGTGTGTGCATCCCACTGCAGCTCTGGTGAGGTCAGCTTGCTCTTGTGCTGTGCTGCTCACTATAGCTCTGCTGCTTAAGGATACGTATATACACACCTCCTGTGGTTGTGGTCTTGTTTGTTCCAATAGAAGTCAGCACAACCAATAATGGTTCTGTGATCAGATTGTGCTTTTAAACTGTATCAAGCATAAATTAAGGATTTGCTAGTGCTGTGTTTTGTTCACAAATCTTTTCCTCTAAACTTTGGACTGTGTTCAGTAATTCTGATGGTTCTCACATGCTTTCCATGCTGTTGGATGGAGTATTAACAGATTTGATTTAGTTGTTATTCTCGAGGAAATATCTTAAGTAATATGCGAAGTCTAGACTGATCCCAATATCAAAAGGATGGATGCGAAGCAAACAGCTAGGTAGCCAGATAACCACTAATGGTTTTCACACCAGAAATTTCTGGAATTGTATCAATATATATGAACCTACCTGATTTGCAGGCAAAATTAAGCACGAGCACCCATGCTGTTGGCTTCATACCTACAACTAGTCACAGGCATCCACAAAACCAAAGATGTTTTTTACAGATTGGCCACTAACACCCCCCCCCCCC